ATGAAATGGCTATGAAATATGGAATCTTTACAATACATTCATGAGAATTAATTGATTCATTCTGCAAACAATCTGTATGCAGAACAACTATGTCAACGGTCAATGGAAATAAAAATATTAATGCAACCGCTCATATATAGTCAATAGCTCTGTTTAAATGTGTTTATGCAATCACTGTGCTTGTTTCACATATTATATCAAAAGTGCAATTCAGATGGTGTAATCCCAGACCCATCCTCTTATACAACAGATACAGTGGGATTAATTTATGGATAAGGAAAAACTATCTACAATATTATTTTTCTGAACAGATGAAACAGAGACACCTGGTGGTGACCTTAAAGTTAAACTGCTCCCGAATGTACAGTATGCGAAGGTCTATGTCACTTAGCGTTTTTTGGGGCCTATGATAAAAAAAGATTGGCAAATATTTAGGACTGGAATTTATTAATTATAAAATTATTCTTTTTGTTGTATAGTGAGGTAGAACACATTGATCCCGCTGTTCTCACTCTTGTCCTGCTGATTAAATGTAGCCTAACAGTATTAAACAACCAGAGCTCAGTACATGATCAGTGAAGACCGTTCTAATCCACTCCAATCTTTTAGATCTTTTGTCTATGTTCACATAAGAAATCCATATAAGCCATATAATGACAGATTTTTAATTTTTGGGTGAATTATTATTTTAAAAGCCAAAAAGAAGAAACCAGAAACTACTGTGGCTGAGCTGCCAATGCAATGTTGTCAAGCCATGCTAAGATGCATTTTGCTTATCCTCTGTTGCTCTAAACCACAGATACCCCAATTGATCGTCAGACTTTCGAGGACTATCACAGCCTTTTAAAGGGCAATCCTTTAAAAAAAATTCCTAAAATTTAAGGGGTCAATTACAGACTTTTTTGCAACTCTGGTGGCCAGCGACAAAGATTCTGGAAGTAACGGCATTGCTGATTACACACTAATGACCAGCCTGAAGGTGCAGTTGGTTTCAGTTTGCAAGTGGTACAAGACTCAATCTGAGTCAATCTGGATAGAGAGCAGCAAGATTCATACGACCTGAACATAATAAGTGGTTGATGGTTGGTGGCACGATCCAACCCATTAGAGTTATGCCCTTCTCAGGATCACCATTACAGATGCCAATGAACCTAAATTTGAGGAGTCACACTATGATGGTAAACTGCCAAAAAACAGCCCAGTGGGTCGTTCTGTTCTAAAACCAGTGACTCTGACATGGGGCGCAACGGAGAAGTGATCTACAACAAGCATTACCAGTAGTCCTACAAGTTGTACATCCAAGCTAAAGATAACTGTCCCCAATCGGCAAGCTCCATAGTCCTTGTATCAGAGTGAAAAATCAGAATTACAACACACCCTTTATCAGGATCCAGGGCATCGGACTTGTGAAGCATGAAGAAGGCGTAGCTAAAACATCACAGCTGTGGCTCTGGTGGATGTTTCAGATTGTGATGAGAGTGAAAATGCAGTTGTGACCTGTGTGGTCACTGGGGACATCCCATTCATTTTGTGTTTAGTTTGTGAAAACAGCAATGACCTCAAGATGAAGTACTTCCTTCGGTACACTACTGGAATATGAGGGATCAAAGACTACAGGATTGGAATTGTGGCAGTGGATTCTGGCAACCCTGTACTATCAAGCACAAACTCCCTGAAGGTGCAAGTGACATACATGAATGACAACTCCCTGGTCTTCTCATCCACTTTGTATGTGATAGACTTTGCTGAGGAGAATCAGCCAGGTGACAATAATTTGGATGTGGTAGCCACAGATACAGACAATGGGAGTAATGCAAAGTTGACATCCAATATCACTGGTGGATCAGTCCCTAAAGAGCTTTTCGTAATTAACTCCAACACAGCAGAAGTACGTGTCACAAGCAAGTTGGACCGCAAGCTTTCAGCTTCACGAGTTACAACATCCCTGCAGCTGCAGACGCGCAGGCGCAACAAGGCAGCTCCAGTGCTTTTGTTTACATCATCTACCTTGTGCACGTTTACAAGACAGAAAACTCGGCTGAAAGAAAAAGGCTGCAAACTCTGGTTTGATTTGGGTAGTGCTAGAGCCTATATTGTCTTTGTATTATATAATCAAAAGAAATTTTCTACATCATTTTCCAGGCTTGTTTACTTTAGTTTATTTTTTTAATAATACAACACCATACTTTCACCCAAACTGAATAATCAAAAACTAGTTTAAACGGGTATATTTTCAATTCTCGTTATGAGAAGTAGGCTATGAGAAAGTTGCCCTTATATAGCATGTCTATTAGGCCTACCTCCAGGACCGGGTTGTAGGCGACTTCTGCTGCTAGTTTCTGCGGCAGCTGAGCGATTAAAGTCGACATGAAAGTAACAGAAGCTGCGATAGTCTTTTCTTCCTTCTTATGATATCCCCGTGAAACGACTTCTTGATGTAGGCCTAGATGTAAACAGATAAAAGATGTAGGACGGGCCTTGATTTTGTCCATCTGGAATTGATTGCTTGCATCGTTGTTGGTGTTTGCTATATTGCTGTGATCTCATTGTGAGTGACACATGGTCCCGATCAACGACGGCATATTAATTAAAACAAAGATGCTGTTTGACTCCCTTTAAAGGGGTCATGAATTGGCGTTTTAAATTCTATTATATTGTTTTCTGAGGTGAACTTATGACGTTCGCTTGTTTTTTGCATTCAAAAACATCAAAATGAATAACTAATAAGCTTTCTACCCTCGGAAACGCACGGATTTTATGGGCGTTTCGCACTGAAGACTTGGAAGTTACGTTAAACGCCCACTGCTGTGATTGGATAACAGTTTTGCATAATAATTTTTTCAACTTACCTCGTCGGTGTACGTGGGTAAAATGTTTTGAAAACATCCATCCAATGTTGTAAAATGGCACCCGGAATGATTCGCCCATAGGCTACATGTTCGACCCAGAGTCCATGTGTTGCACTGTTGCACAATTCCTGTCAGATCCAATATAGACGGAACAGCACCATTCTTTACTCTTAATCAGTCTGCAACTCCAGTCTTGTTTACAAAACAATCCTCAGTGAAATGAAGCGAACAGACGACGATGTTTTACTCTCATCAGCTGGAATGTCATTAAAAAATAAAGTTTATCCATGCTGTCCTATTGGAATCCAGAGGCAGAAGCATGTCCTCTTCCACAACCAGGCACTGCACCATATTCTGTATTTCTCGGTATCTCGATCCGGTTTGTCATCACGAGCTCCTATGTTATTTAGCTGTGCGTGTAATGCACGTATCGGTGGGCGGGGCTAAACCGGCCGTGTTCTAGTAGGCGTTGATCTTCTTCTGCAGGGGTGGGGTTTTATCCTCTTTGACATCATAGTTCCCCACTTTTAAAAACAAGTCAAGTTGCTGGGGCTGGTGTCAATAAAAGCTTTTATTGGAATAACAAGGACGTTTTCAGTTCTGAAACTTACAGGATATTCTTATAATATGATAACCTCTTAGATGTCAAAAGCTCAAGGAAAATTTGATTTCTCAGTTCATCACTCCTTTAATAATAAACTTTGCAGTTATTTATTTGTTTTCACTTTTAAATTTTTAATTACTAAGGTTTTCCTACATGGACTAATAGGCTACTGCAGATGTTCAGTTGTTGGGCGTGTCTAATCATTATACTAGTCTACATTGTATCATGGGAAATTTTACTCATTAGCACCATCATTTGATTTAAAGAGGCGTCTTTGTCCTGTTCCCACCGCAGATGAAGTCAGCGTCTGCTCGGTGTAGCCGGTAGCACAAAGCAGCGAGTGTCTGTCTGCAATCAATCGCCGTTATTGTTACAGCGTGTTCAGACCGGGTTACTCACGCGCCAAGCCACAGAGTCATTAATGGAACGTCAGTCATCATAGGCTATACAAGTTGATATAGTCTGATGTTGGTATAGCCTATGTTGGGGGTGCCGTTATTATTTTATATTGTAGTATTTTATAAAATGTAGTTTTAGTGCAGTCTAAATTAATGTTAGAAATCAAGCAAATTACTTTAAATCAAGTAAATAACTAAAACATAATAAATAAACAGTTATTGAATTGATTATTGATATAGGCCAACCAACTGTTTACATTTTCACTCTTCTTTCAAAAGGCTCTTTGGAATTTATGAAATTAATTACAATTATTTTTTTGAATTGTTTTAAAAAAACAAATTTGTACATAATTTTGTATACATAAGTATAGTAGGCTAATCTTGCACACAGACAATTAGTTATCTGTGTAAGTTGGCCCAAGAAAGATTGCACAGGATGTTAAAATTGCTTGGATGGGTGTTATTTTTAAAAAGTGACATGCCCCACAGTGTCAATTGATAGGCCCTAGAAATATCTTCATGAAGAAGTGATTAGATAAGAGGGTCGACCTCTGATAGTAATCCTTTCATCTTTGGGCTGCTTGCTTCTCTCACTGCGCAGAGATAACCAACACTATGATAATAGATTCAAAAGAGAGTGAACAAAATACAAGAGATTACAAGATTGTAAAAGTATGGCTTGTTTTTGATGACAGCAGTGGGAAACCTGAAACTACATTTTATTTGCCGATGGGGAATCAGAGTGAGGGGGAGATAATGTTTGTGTAGGCTACTCTTATTAGATTTAGTGCTTTGGTTTCATCTGACAGTGATCAAATTCAGAAGGACATTTCAATACCCAAACAGACGAGTTCATAAACTGTGTTGTTGTGTAACAAATATGAATCAAAGGCTTGGTGTGTTTTTTTTAGCATGATTATTATTATTATAAGCTTTGTTATGGTTTGTTCAGTTTACAATTTCTTTTTTCAAGTTCTTTAAATTCATTCCAGTTGAAGGTAAACATGATTGTAGTTGGTTGTTTCCAACACTAATAAATGCTTTTGTTGTTTCCTCCAAAACAATACAGTTTCTTTGAATCGCACCCACTCACACAGAAAATGCCTAGACTAAACAATGGAAAACAACTTGCATAAACACACGCATTCATACCGTCCTCTAGCTTTATTACCTTTTGATGTCTCAATCTTTCGTACACTCACACACACGCACACACTGAAAGGTAATTTAGGCTAGTTTTAAAACAAACATCAAGTTCTAACAACTGCACACACGCACACACACAATTCTCGTGTCCAAGTTTTTGTAAGTGCAACATTTGAAGAGTGATACTTTGCCTTATCCACTCTTCTGAAATATTACATTTTTCAATTTAAAAAACAAAAAACAGAACCCCCGAAACCCAAATGCACAAAAAACACAAAAGACAACATAAAACAAATTAAATGTAGATCCAAGTCTGTAAATTATAATTCAGAGCATTCAAATTAGCGTTCGGTTTGTTCTGAAGTCGCTCTAAATCAGTGAACCCACACCAGCCGTAGTGATGCAATAAAAAGCAGACGTAATGTTCCAGAAAAACTGAAATGATTTTTCAGAGCAATGATACAATTAACAGCTTTATCATTTGTTTAAAGACAGTCTGTGGATGTGAGAGAAGGTATCCATTATGAATCTAAGTTAGAAAACCTCTACCGCACATCATTTCTCCTACACCACATGCCATTGCTAGTTTAAGCAGTATTTGCATGTCTCTAGAGCGAGAAGCAGCGCTGGTTGCTATTATCATGAGCCATGATATGATGTCATCGTTACCACCGTGATAAGGTCCTAGTCTATGTAAAAAGAGTTAGAACCTTAATTTTGAATCTTGTTGTAATTAATGCATACACTGCCGTTTATCCCTTGAAAAGCTTGTAAGAATCCAATAACTACCCGCCCGGAAGCATTTGTGTGCTTGTATTACTCTTGGCAAAAGTGTCACCAGAAATGTTGCCAGTAATTGCTGTTATTTCTTTTCGTGTGTGTGTTGTTCTGATTTCCTGCTGAACTGTAGTGCCTTTAGGTGTGTGTATAGCTGAATAACTGTTGCCGTAGAAACGGATTATAACCACCAGACCCCTCAATTTCCATTCGGTCTTGCTGATCACCACCGAAAGAAGTCAAGTAGCAAGCAGTGACAACCGGTTCCAACTGGAACAATCCCACTGAAGATGGTTTGCAGTTCTTCCGAATCCAGCGGGTATCAGTGTGGTGAGCGGAGATCGTCCACAATGTTCACACATAAATAAATGCATGTGTTTTATGTACAGTGTCTGTGTAGGTGTCCATCTCCGGTTCAAGTCCATAAAGTCTAGAGGAGATTATTCCAGCATCACTGAGCTAATACACTCACACACTCACTAACTTGCTCTCACGCACACATTCTCACTCTCTCACTCTTAAAGCACCTTTTATCAAAAAGAAGAAGGAAAGAAAACAACAACAAAAAGCTATTTGGCTTCTGTTTGTCTCATTGTGTTTAATGCGTTTGTGCAGGCGTTCGTGCGAAATCACTTCTTTCTCAATTTTCCGCATCACAGAACAACCATATCGGCCCCTGCCTTCATGTGTGACCACGATACGTTCAAATAAGAATCAGATGTAATTGGATTTTTTTAACGCTTTATAAATTGTCGCCTCGTCAATACAAAAGTACAAAATGAACTGATTTAGAGTCTTTGAGATTTCTATTATAGACTTGTTTAAACTCATCAAATGAATATTGCTACTCATCCCTGACGGCAATTACACGATCATCCAGCGGTTTGAACGTCTCTCTGGCAACAGAAAACACACACAGAGAGCAACAAACACTTTTGGAATTGGATTGAACGGTTGTTCAGATATTTTTCCGGGTTCGAGCGAATAGTAACCCGAGCTCCTCGATGGTTTCGTTTTCAGATCTCATCAGACAGAATCTGAGACGCTTTTAAACTCTTAACCTGCCAATTGACAGAAAATGGGGCCATCAAACCTTCACAGCGAAGGAAAGATCCACTCCGCCCCCAAGCACCGAAGGCGCCACACAAACACATAAACACACACACACACACACACACACACATACAATCTGCACTATTGAAACCGAAATGGCATAGTTCTCATTATGGTGTTCATATCTGTTTTACTATCGTCTGCACGACATGAAAACTATGTCGCTGTTTTAAGACATGAAAACAGCTGTTGAATTGTGGGCTGGTGCTTGACACTTCGTAAGCTGCCGCAGTGTCAAGTGTTTCGTTTATTTCCTGTTCCTTTCCCAGTTTTTATCGGCAAACTTATCGGCCCTGGATCCTTCCTTCCCCCAAGGCCTCGTTGGTGTGGTGACGGATAGAAGGTGGATGCTAGGAGACAGAGAGGGCGATGAAGAAAAGTGATGCCACGGTTAGGAGAAGGCGATCTCTGGATGGACTGCTACCGCTGATGCTCTTCTCCAATTTAGGGACCTCTGGATTATCATAGTCATCTAGAGACAGACAGACAGATCAAAATTACCAGCTGGTCTAGACACCATTGTTGCGTGACTCACTAAGGTATTGAAAACCAGCTGAGGCCTAAGGGAAGGAGTTCAAAATAAAACGTGTTGACTCAGCCAGGTATGCTCTGAAGATGTCTGTGTTTGTGTGGAGCAGACAATGAAGTTGTGAACACAACAGACTAAAATGTAACTATTATCAGCTATAAGAGGAATGTCCGATGTACCCAACTAATCTATGGAATTTTGCAACATCATTGACAGAGACGAACATCTAACATAACCGGTTTGCTGGTGTCTTCCAGCTCAGGGACTCCGTGAGACAAGTTTATAAACACATCATGTAACGTCTTCACTTACAGGTGAAAAGGAACAGTGTGTGACGCAAATTGGTTGCCAAAAAAAATCTCCAGACACGCACACATTACATGAATGTGTTTTTGACAGAATATTATGATGTTACACCTCTCAGACAAAGGGAACATTTTTCTTTTATCACCCTTTTATGTAGATAGCAATCACAAACAGTATTTAACTATGAGACTTAATATTATTGCCATACTTGTTTAAATCCGTTTCTGTAGTCTGTATTTTTTGCTTTTTATATTCCTTTAATAAAGTTTTGTGTTAAATAATACCTGTCAGATTAAAAGTGTAAAAGTTACTGTGCAAATAAAGTGCATTATAATCACTATGGCAGGGCAATGTTTGATTGACAGGAGTCCTTGGATGCCAGGCAGGAGAGAGGAGCTGTGTGGGATGTTCTGGAACATGTTTACCTGCTGGAATTCAACACTGTGCCAACATCCACAACTCGGGCCAGATAAAATCACATGACCTGAAAGAATAGATGTCTCCAGCTTGTTAGTTAGCTTGAATTTGTACTGTGTTGTGTCATCCGACTTTGTGAAGTTGTTTTTCGTTTGGAGAATGCATTACAGAGATGTTTTGATGAGCTTGTCCTATCAGTGACCTGAACGGGAAGTCGGATCTCACATTACGGAACAAAAAGAACTTTTCATCATATATAATTTTGTACTAACACTGTCCAATAAGGTTCAAATGGTTAACATAAGTTTAAGTTTGTATTTGGGTATAAAAAAAACAAAACAAAAAAAAAACAATTAAAGGGTTAGTTCACCCAAAAATGAAAATTCTGTCAGTATTTACTCACCCTAATGTTGTTTCAACCCCGTAAGACCTTCGCTCATCTTCGGAACACAAATTAAGATATTTAAGATATTAAGATCGCTCCTGCATGCAGTCCATAGGCTTCTTGAGGGACTGGCTCTTGCTGTCCTCGAAAAGTCATTAAAGACATCGTTAAAATAGTCCAAGTGACTACAGGGGCTCAATCTTAAGTTTATCAAATGACGAGAACACTTTTGTGCGCAAAAAAAACAACAAAAATAACGACTTTATTTCAACTATTCGTTTATTTCTCCCTCTGCGCGAGTCAGGTTACTAGTTTAATAGCGTAAGCTTCTGTTATTGTACGTCACACGCATCACACACACATGACCAGCGTCGGCCAATAGTGAGCCTACGTGTGACGTAGCTCTACGCAATCACACTACGTTAACTGACTTACAGGCTCATGGAGAAGGAAGTGAATAGTTGAAATAAAGTCGTTATTTTTGTTGTTTTTTTGCGCACAAAAGTGTTCTCGTCGTTTGATAAACTTAAGATTGAGGCCCTGTAGTCACTTGGACTATTTTAACGATGTCTTTAATGACTTTTCGGGGACAGCAAGAGCCAGTACCTCAAGAAGCCTATGGACTGTGTGCAGGAGCGATCTTAATATCTTAAATATCTTAATTTGTGTTCCGAAGATGAGCGAAGGTCTTACGGGGTTGAAACAACATTAGGGTGAGTAAATACTGACAGAATTTTCATTTTTGGGTGAACTAACCCTTTAACAACAATTTTACAACATTCATTAATTTGTGTTAATGTCAATAAGCTGTTGTTCAATGTTAATTCAAGTTTGTTTATACATTAGCTAACGTTGATTTCTACAACAATATGTTAAAAATATAGACACATTCAGCAAAGACACATGAAACTGATGTGTTTCTTTTTAACTTTATATTTCTCAAAGAACCTTGATCAAATGATCAAAAATTTTTTTTACATATTTTAAAAAAAAAAAACTGTCATTATGTCCTGACAGTAGAATATGAGACGGATAGTCGGTGAAAAAAAAAAAAAAAAAAAAAAAAAATATCAAGCTCCTCTGGCTCCTCCCAGTGGTCCTATTCCCATTTGCATAAATACACCACTCCCGGTCAGAAACAACCAATCAGAGCCAGGAGGAGTGTCAATCACGCTGGTGTATGAGCTGATCACACCCCTCTCTTTCACAGCGCGTACAGTCGTTCAAACTCAAGATTGCGGTGTGACAAAGCTGTGCTAATGGCGGAGAAACAACCTAAATTGCCAATTTCTTGAGTGGCACCTGCTCATAAAACAAAGACAGGTAAAAGGAAAAAGACAGATGATAGTAAACAAGCGAAAAAGAAAGAATTAGACAGAGCACATTGACTCTGTGTCAAAACTCTAGCCGCGTAACATGTAGGTTAGATAAAATGTCACGCACTGTGAAAAGCAAAAATTGAAACCTGCAAATTCACTGGCTTGTCATGCTGCTGAAATAATGTTGTGGCGAGCAGGACGAGGCTGAGGTACGTGAGAGCGGCACGAGGCCGGTGGCGTGAGTGATAATGAACGATACCTGTGATGCATCGGTCTCGCATCTCTCACGGAGAGCGGAAGCATGAAGGAGGAGCGACGACAGTGAAGATCAAGAGAGGAACAGGCCTGATTTTATGTTGTGATTTTATGTTCTGCTGGGGCTGCTGGCTTATACTTTCACTTTGTATTTGTTAATTTATTATTAAACTTGTTGAACGTTCGCCGGTTCCCGCCTCCTCCTTCCCATAACAACTGAACCCCGTTACAAATTTACAAGCAAACCTTATCTTGCATTAGGCCTACACATCGGCATCGCTAGAATTACTTGCATACTGTTACGTTAGTTACCGTTATATTATCTAGCTATTTATAACTTATAGAAAGGGTGCAAAGTTATAAAGTTATATTACATGTATTGCAAAATACGTAATGATTTGAGGACCAAGATTGTAGTCAAAGTTTGGGCAGGCCTTAGTCAATGAAAAGCATATTGTTGATATTTCGTCAGATATTTCGTTCAATTAAATAAATAAATTAAAATGGGAAATAAATGGTATTTGAGCACCAAATTAGCATATTTATTAGATTTGCATTACATAATTAAATTGCATTTTAAAATTAAAATGTTTTTTTCAACAGCTATTCCAAATCATAATAATTTCAAAATATTACCGTTTTTTATTGTATTTTTGATCAAATCAAAGCAGCCTTGGTGAGCATAATATAATATAATATTTATTATTATAATTATATATTAATTATATTATATTTAATATAATGCACACACACCAAACCTTTGAAAGGTGGTGTATATGTACAAACTAATTCTATTTTAGATAAATAAATTCTGTATAAGTTTATTGTTAGTGTACTGAATGTCTATTGCATTCCAATATTCCTTAATACAAGCAGGAAATGGTTTGTTTTTATTGTTAGAAAAAGCATAGAGAATGGTATGAGCACAATGCCACACACATCATCTTCTTGTTCTCTATTATTCCCCAAAGGCCAAATAAAAGTTGCCTTTGTGTTTCTTGCATCTGTATTTGTGATTGCCTGCGTGTTTGTGCGAGTCGCTCTGTACTAATATCATGTTCCTTTCGTACCGTAAAACACACTGCCATTAATGGGACTAACTGCTCCAGCAGATTTACAGAACTGACATTAAGAATCCTGCAAATGAGAATTTATGTTTCTAACGACTTCAGAATCCAATTTTATTTAAATTAGTAAGTGCTTATGTGTTTTTTTTCTTTAACTTTAAAAGCACTTGCAGCATTCCAGAGTTTAATGTCAGTTTTGTGAGTAACTTTTGATTTGTTTGTAGAAGTTCACTTTAGAAATGTACTGTATAATTGCCATTGTTTTTTTTTTTTTTAGTTGGTCAGTACTAATAGAAAAGCAGTGAGAGGCTGTCTTTTGTCTTTTGGACACAGATGTATGGAGCAGTACTGAGACGTGTGGCATCCTGAGACCCGGCTGGCCTCTTGCGGTTGTTCTCTTCCCCTCTCTGGCCTGTTTGAAAACTGAACCCCTGATCGGAGCGAGCGGGAGAGAGCCGGTACTCAGATTCCAGTTATTGGAAATCGTTGGGTGGCTCTGACCCAGAGACGACCCAAAACACATCCACATCCATCTGTCTCAAAACACACGCTCAGAAAAAAAAAAAACCCGGACCAGATCGATGCCTCTTTATTCCTTAAAACACTTGAAGTCAAATCAATTTATTTTCTCTCATTTAAATGGTGCGGTCGCCACTGTCCTTGAGTCAAGTTACCGCAGTGGTGAGGAAGTGCAGGATGCGACAGTACGGCTGGGAACTGGAGGGCTAGTTCTGCCACTCCTAATCAGCGCTAACACTAGCCTCGGCGCTAATCAAGCTAACTATAGCCAGGCAAGCTCACGCTTCGTTTGCCTTTTAGCTTGTGGCTTCATTAGTGTCAGTCATTGCCCATAAGATGTGTGTTAGCAGATATAGGCCACTGTATTTGTTTGGTACACACCGTGTGGCAGGAAAAGCAAATTAGAGTTGATCTCATATGCATTTTTTTTTTACACATTCAAATGACATGAAGTGGATTTAGCTTCTTAACTTCACACTCAATTTGATTTATAACAATAAATCTGCCCTTACACACACGCATGATTTATGAGCTTGCTGTGCAACTACGAAAAAGGCGTGTGCATGCCACAGATCTGGGCGTAGAAACCTTGGGTGTAAATGTCAACTTAATCAGTGATTTATCTGCATATGTATAAGTGTCAGTGTGGTCCGTCTGGTGTGTGCGTAACTCACCGAGGTCATCGATTTTGATGTTAGGTCTTAGAGTGTAGTCTGGCTCTGTGGGCTGGGGCTCATCATCTGAATCAGATGCTGGGAAGACATGAAAGGAGAATCAGAACACACACTCTCCCCTCTCTCTGAAGGATCTTATACATGCTCTCAAAGGCCTTGGGAATTTATTTGTAAGCTCCTGCAGGCCATACAGCAGTGGATGGAGGCTACTTACATCAAAGGGATGCCTTATAAATCACGAAACATTGGTCCACTAGTCGACAAGTTGTCTAACAACTAACAATGATCAATAGTCAAGGGATTAACTGGGATCCCACCAGTGAGCACTTGGGCTATCAAAATAATGACAATGTCAATTTTAATTTGTGTTTTTATTCATTTGAGATTTTTTTTTGACACTTTTACTGAAAATTATGATTGCTGGTAATTAATATTTTTTATTAAATTATTTTAAGTTTTTAAAAGTAAAATAATAACAATCTACATATAGTTTTGTGGGCTATTCTCTTTTAATCTGCTTTGAAACTATATTATTTTAATATTTCTAGGTATTTATTGTAAAATGCTTAGTTGGTAGACAAAAATACATTCTGCTTAACAGAAAGAAATAATATGGTCATATAATATTTTAATAAATTGTTTTGCCTTTAGAACATGAACGGTGAAAAATCCAATTAATATTCTGAAATAATATTTCATTATTAGCGTTGGTATTTAGCATTGTTTTAATTTAGCAAAAATTAAAAATCCTTATGGAACGGTTGCAAGGCCAACTTCTTTATGTGTCCCATTATGAGCATTAAGTTTGAGTACAGCTTTTAAAAATTGCATTGGAAAACTTACACTTTTTCATTTCTGCCAATATGGATCAATGATTTTGATGACATCATTCTGCACTTCAGCTTCTCATCAGATTTTCTTATGAGCGATCATATGTGCATAGTCGGTGCATACCAGAAAACATATCGTACCCATTTGAATTCTGCACAGAATGCTATATTTTAAAGCAGTGTGGAGGAGAAACGGTTAGCCGAACTGTGATATAAACAAAACGCTATTGGCAATTTTAAAAAAGGGAGGAGCTGTTCCAATGTCCCGCCCTGTCTTTCTGTTTCAAAGAAAATTACGTCAACACATGTCATTGAATAATGCTACGAGTTTCGAGAAACGTCGGCGGGCCTTTAAATGCCCCCATCACTGCACACGTTATCGCTCTAATCTAACACACCTGACTCAACTCATCAGCTCATTAGTAGTTTTCCACATCCTGATAAATACATCAGCCCTGTTTCGCTCGTTTGATCACAAGGCACTGGAGTTCAGACCTGGCTGAGCAAGAATAACAGATTCATCTTGACACAAGAACTCAGAGACTCCAAGATAGAGGGCAAAGGTTAAGATAGCACACAGTATGCTCTCTCTCTCTCTTTCTCACGAACATACACTGAGCAGGGATATTATTAATGAACATGAACACTGACAGAAAGAGAGGGTGAGGGGTTAAAATAACACTGAATTCTGGAAGGACCTGCAACAAGAGAGAAGAGGGAGAAAGGGAGAGGGGGAAGAAATAACAGAGGTGGAGCGATAGAATGGTTTCCCAATCTTTGTTTTTGTCTTATATATTGTTAGTTTTTAACTGCATTCAGCTTGACATTATTTCAACAGGGCAAGAAATTTTAAATATAAATTAAATAAATTATAAGACATTTTAAATATAAATTTACAGAGACCCACACATGACATGCAAGAGAAACAAATATATATCGCAAACACAAATTCATTCCCTCATTTTAGTTAAATAATGGCCACGATATAAATTAAAATGGGTGAATTAATTAGTACAATGTGGCCACGATTTACTAAAATGAAGGAACATATGAATAAGTGGGGGAAAAAAATCTTAATTTATGGCAATTATTGAGCCAAAACAATTAAACAAAATCTTAATTTTTTATATTTAATTATATAATTGAAGAGTTCAGATGCAAAAGCCTCTAAGTGCCATTTGAAATGTTCTTCTAAAATGATCATTTTTATCAAGCTTGTATATTTAAGTTCAGTAATTTCACTTAAATGGCAATGAAGATTACCTATTAATTGTTATTTAAGTGAAATTACTGAACTTAAATATACAAGCTTGATAAAAATGGTCATTTTAGAAGAAAATTTCAAATGGCATTTAGAGGCTTTTGCATCTGAACTCTTCAATTTCCCCCCATGTTTTATTTTTATCTTTTAATAAGTGACAATTTTTACTTCATAAACTTAGGTTTGGTATATTTTGTTAATGTTTTCGAAAGAAGTCTCTTATGCTGGCCAAGGCTGCATTCACCTGATCAAATATAAAGTAAAAATAGTAATATTGCAAAATATTATTACATTTTTTTAATATTATAATAATATTTTAAATGATAATTTATTCCTGTGAATGCAAAGCTGCATTTTTCAGCATAATTACTTCAGTCTTAAGTTTCACATGGTCCATTAGAAATCAGTCAAATATGCAGATTTGCTGCTCAAGAAACTCTTTTTATTTTGATCTTGCTATTATCAGTTGAAAACAGTTGTGCTGCTTAATATTTTTTTGTAGAAACAGAGATTCATTTTTTTCATGATTCTTTCATGAAAAGATTGTTAAAAATATCAGCATTTATTTGAAATCGAAATATTTTGTAGTAGCATACATTTCTTTGCTGTCACTTTCTTGCTGAATAAAAGTATTATTAAAAAAAATAATAATAAAAACTTACAGAATTATGAATGGTAGAGTAAGTTTAACAAAGTAAAGTCAAAATCTTTTCAAGTACACCCTGAGGTATGCGTATTCCTGGTTGGAAACACTTTAGTGCCAACAAACAATATTAAGACATGAAATCTAGTTGGGAAAGAGTGGGAGAGAGTACGCTTTCTGTGTAAACAGATTGATTAAATCCTCAGAAAGACGGATAGTAGAGTTAAAGAAAACTGGACTGAGGTGGGTGGACAGGTGGATCAATTGTCTGAAAAATAGAATGGTTGGATGGATGGATGGATGGATGGATGAAATGAGTTGATGCAATGATGGATAGATGGATGGATAGAGGTCGATACCTGTTGAGCAGCAGACATACACTCTTAATCTCAGGCAGCTCCGCCCGTGGTGATGAGTGGGTGTGGCTAAAAAACAAGAACATGTCAATCATCTGTCAGTCATCTGAAATACTGTAATATTCTGGAAAATTGTCTGCAATATTAAACACAGAAAAGCTTTAAATAATATCTAGTATCCAAAAAGAAGCTTGTACTATGTAAATGGTAACTTGTATAACAAAGCAAGCATGAGGTCCTACAGTATATATTACTGTACTGTATATTACATACAGTAATGTAAATACACCGATTTATGAACTTTATATTTAAAAGTATATATATATATATATATATATATAATACATTTAAGTACAATTATTTATTTTATTACTTAAAAATCAACATATATTTAAGGCAGGGCAACAATTTTAAATTAATATTCACATAATACTGACAATTTGGGGAGAGGGATGATGTACTAAATTGTTATTCAAATAATGTTGTAATTCCAAAACAATTAAAAAAAATTAAGCAGAATTTATTTTTTCTTTCTTTTGATGGACATGTCTGACATTCATATACTATAATACGGTTATGTAAAGCTGTGTTACAAAACACTATACTCACAGATATAATAATACTCGTGCCCAACGTGGAACTCATAGCCGAGCGAGAAGGCGCTGTATCGCTGAAACTTTTCCGAGAACTTGATTGGTGCATGCGGGGCATGGGGGCGGTTACACTCCCAGCGTTTGAAGCCCAGCTGCGGGTCACACGTACGGTAACCACGATAACTGACCATGTAGAGCACGTACTGCTCAGCGACACCTCTCTGGCTGCTGTTGTAGTGAGGACAGTAGATATCCAGATAGTCATTGACATTCACCTGCACAGTGTAGCCCTCCTTACGAAGTCTGATGACACAGAGAAACACAATTTATAGTCAATTATTGCTCAAAATGTATAAATTAAATGTATTACCCATACATTCACCAAGCTAAAAAAAACTTTCACTTTGCAAAAAAATAAATAAATAAATAAAAAGGAAAAAAACAAACAAACAAACAAAAAAACAGAAAAGCGCAAATTTACATAAATTACAAAAGGAAAGTTATGTGTGGTGCTGTGTCCGGTCACCAATCTTTTAACAGGGTTCCACATTTTCGACTTCAAAATTCCACTTTTCCAGACTCAAATTTCCAAACCTCTCTGTAAATTTGTAAAACCATAAATTAACATAACAGGTTCATACATTATTTTCAGCATTATATGTTGTATATAAGTAAATATTTTCACTTTGTTTTGTTTTTTTGTATTGGTTTTCTTGAAGTGATAACATGCACTAAAATGATGAGAATAAACCTTTATAACCTGCATTATTGACGTTATATACAAAATGAAAAGCCAAAAAAAAGAGAGTTATTTTCAGCCCCATTTGACCTTGATCCACTGATCTAAGTGGAGCTCATTTACTTTTTTTCTATAAATAGATACATTATTTACATTTACAGCATATTAGGCTCAGAGCAAAGCAGGTAGCGGTATTGTAAAATCACACACACACGTCTTTCCTTTTTCTTCAAGGTTAAATGAGGACAAATAAGTTTTCACACGATGATGGATGCATTTTCTTCGGTTGAAGTTCAGGCAGAATCAGTGCAAGCTTGTATCAGACATTTGCATTTCGGGGGAAGCTCCCTCGGGCCTGAGAGATAGAGTGAAGGTGAGCATGAAGAAGGGAGAGACGAGAGTGATGGCTGTGTTGGGAGCTGTAGTAATATATTGTTATCCCGCTCCAGTGCGCAGCTGTATTGACAATGAGTCTTACCATTCCAAGACTGTGTCTGATGAAAGCGCGCGTAACGCAACGTAGGCCTACTGTATATAAACAGCGAGCGCATGCAGCTCTCGCGGGGCCAGTCTTACTGCAGGTTGGAGAAGTTGCATTGCAAGTGTCAGGATTCAAAACACAAGCTCGGTCCCTTCTTCACTGCACTCGTTTGTCAATGTCACACCATGAGACGCCGAGAGGATAGAGTGAAACTCAGCGGGCTCTCAATGATGTAGGATTACTGCCATAATATCGTCTGACCAGCAGGTGTCAGTATTTAGATGTGCAAATGAATATCAATTTCTTTTCCTCGGTTCTAGGTCACTTCTCCTGGGAGATTATTATTATTCAATTATTAAATGAAGATCAAACATGCTGCATTAACGCCTCTCCCACTTCACACTCGTCTCTGATCCTCACTCACTCACTCCTCTCATTCTATTCCTCCGTCTCACTACTGACTTTTAAATGCAAATGATGGTGGAAGCGCAATGTTTGCTTTTTGTCTGTAGTAGGCTATATCACGTCACACCCTTCTACTACACACATTCATCCATTCAACACCATGTGCAAAAAGGAAAGGGAACCTAAACCTAAAATATAAAGATTTTATTGTAAAAAAATAGAATTATTTGCCACCACCATAGTCTATACAGCAAGAATGTAACGTGCCTCTTTTTCTTACACTGTTTGCACCAGTCCCAAGAGGGAAATCATACTTTTGGAACTTGTCACTTTTCACTAAAACAATGGGGCCCATCAACTGTCTGGTTGCCAACATTCTTAAAAATATTTTGTGTTCAGCAGAAGAAATAAATTCACACAGGTTTGAAACAACATGAGGATGAGTAAATTTCCATTTTTGGGTGAACAATCCCTTTAATGGCCAAATAAAGGAAAGCTACATTTCAAGTTGTTGTTTACAGATTTTTCCCCCCTTTTTTTATTTTCCGGAAAGACATTTCGTCAGGTGAACAATCGGCATGTTGTTAGAAACTAGCACAATCCATGTAGCCTATCCCTCACAGCCTCTTCATTCATGACAAAAATGAAATAGCACTACCTCCCTGCCAAGGTCTATTGAGTAGCTCTAGTTGTCACAACAAAATCTGCCATTAAAAAAAAAATGTATTATTGAGCAAAATTCAAAATTAATGAGATAGCAAAACTGTAAAAGGTACATTTAAAATGTAGGCTATTATCATAACCATTGTTTTTGCCAATAAATATTGTAATGAATTTAAAATCAGATTAAATAAATGTTTAACATTTAAAAGACTTGCCCAGTCCTGAATTTTTCAAAACTATTTATTGTTCAATTAAAAATATACACTTAGGCCTATTCCCTTGACCATTGCCTATATGTAATGAGGGTTTCATTTGTCTTACAAACTTATTTGGTGTGATGCCAGTGAATGGGGATTGGTGGAGGACTGATGGAAGGGAATCTGCAGTTGTTTTTATGTCCACGAGGGGGCGGTGAAGAGAAAAAAAACGTTAATCCCACTGTGGAAGATTTCAAGTCATTAAAAAAAAATGATCCTGGAGTATTTAAAAAAGGCTGGCACACATTTTCTTCTCAACTCAGAGTAGTAACCCCTCTGTATTAAAAGGCAAATCATTTGAACTACTGAGCTAACATTTGAAAGAGCATGCACACAGTACACAAGGTTTATGTGATTGTATGCGTACAGGCTGTGTGGGTCCAGGATGCAAGATGCTGAGCTAGGCAGCAGGTCAGAGCAAGATCAAGACTCCCTGAATCAATGTCACTATGCGAGAGAGAAAGACAGAGGCCAAAGCTTCTCCAAAAGAACAAAAGCCAAGAAACGCAATAATACCATCTGAGAAACAAGCGTTTTACTTCGCTTCATTAATCAAATGTTGCAAGTACACCTAGACATCCCATTATTGCAGTCCATGTCTTGTTTTTGGACACATATTAATTAAAATCCCCACCCTTTTACATGTAGAAGTTGAGTAAGATGCACATTTTTCATACCATTACATGTGCAATTGTGCCTACAGAGCATATCTGTATTGAGACAGAGAGAGAGAGAGAGAGAGAGAGAGAGAGAGAGAGAGAGAGATGGCAGAGCTGAATCAGCACAACAGGATAAACAGCAGCTCTCTTCTCTTCCCTCGTTGTTCTTTTCTGTTCTTCTAATTAAGCCCCTCAATCCGTTTAATTAAAGGAGAGCATCTGTCCTGTGAACAGTTGACAAAACACATGTGAGGTGTGCACAAACACACATGCTGTGCTCTATAAAGGACACCTGCAGATCCACTGATGACTGTGGACTAAAAGTAAGAGTGTTCAGTTAACATCCAGACCTCTGTATCGAGTGAGTTAAGCAATTTAGGGCCTTTCACATTAACAAGAGTGCTGGGGTTTCCGAATATCATGCGATTCGACTGCAGGTAATCAGCTGTGCTGATGTTCAGAACAGCAGTAAATAAACAAGATCTTCATATTAAGTAGCATTTTAGACAGATTACCATGTATAGTTTTGCTAGGGGATTAAAAGTTTTAAACAAAGCCAAACCATTCCCAGGTGTTCATTTACCTGAGTAAATTATCCAATGACTCACTCTTTAGAATCATTTGATTGAGTAAATGATTCAGTGACTCACCTGTTACATTCCTGAACAAATCACTTGAGTAACTGATTCAGTGGCTGCGTCCGAAAGCTTATGGCATTGACTTTGCAGGCAGTGACTACTTTTACATGCAGCCAATAACCCGTTCAAAACCGGGATATTAGCAATAACCCGGTCGTGAACGGAGATGTAAACACCGGCAAAAACCCGAATATGCTCATATCCCGGATTTTAAAAACCGAGATATTATACCTGGGGTACCCCTTTTCTAACCCAAACTTTTGGTCATGTAAATGCGTATTGGCATATCCCTATAGTGATTTGTGTTCTGTGCATGTTCTATTCGCAAGGAATCTTGGTCTTTTGAGTAAAGAAACTTCTCGGCGCATACAAAAATCCGCGAGCAGTATACCGGAAGTAAACATGGCGAGACCAGGCGAGACCGAGACGCAGCACAGCATACTTTTGGAGTGAGCTCAGTAACGCAAGGCGCAAACAAAGGCGATCGCTATCTGCCACGAACTATTTATTATCCGCGTGCTGCTGTTGTTGTTGTCTTTGGATACAGGAAGAAGAATCGGAAATGACGCATATTGCGTCAAATTTACGGACAACTTACGGTTGTCCGTAAGTTTAGACGCAAACCGCGCGTCGCGTATACAGGAGAAACTCTCTCTGCTCACGCATGTAAACGGGTTATTCCTAATGTTTCAGAAACCCGAATAGTGACCTTAACCTGAAAATAGGCTGCATGTAAACGTAGTCAGTGTTTGAGCATGAAGATGCCTCACGAAAGCACAATAAGGGTTTAATGGTCTACACAAAAATGTGCTTTTGAGTGAAGTTTTGAAAAACACCACCACCACCAACAACAACAACAAAAAACAGGTCCATGTCTTCCCTGATAGTCTTTAGTTCTCCATGTTTCTTTTGCCCTGTTTATTTCTATCTCCATTTTGTGGTTCTCATCTAATTATTTGGTCAATCCCTACTCATTTTTGTTCCTCTCTCTCTTTTTTTCCACTTGTCTTTTCTTTCCTCCTCTACAGCAGTAAATTATTGAAAGGTTATTAAATTAAGAGGCAGAACCACTGCCGCCGGCTCACACACACACACACACGCGGCTGAAAACGTGCCAAATGCCACCCCAATAAAATGAATACACGATTCCACTTTCTGCAGCCAAACTACTATTCACTGGGTTCAGAGCAGGTTTTTAATCAATCAAACGTTCTCGTAATCAGTGTTTCAGCCGGGAGAGAGGAAGAGTGTGTATTTGGTTTTAAATCTGCTAAGGCATTGATATGTGTCTGAGGGGGAGAGTTCAGCCGCTGTTACCTGCTCTCAAGGCCGACCTCATCACCGCTCCCCTCACATCAAGTGAGTGTGTGTGTGTGAGCGTAAATCACACACCCCTCCACTCACTTCCCCTCGTTTCAAAGCCCATTTGCCACAGGCAATTAGAAACCAACCAATCTCTCG